GATGTGATAATCTACCCATTACTTATCTTCTTTGTACAGTTAATATCAGGGTATAATTTGAAGGAAAAAGGAGGCATTGCCTTTCCAAACAAAGCCAGCTTTATGGGTAGGCACTGTGGTATGGGAAGCGAGGTTCAGTGTACATTTCTTAATACCTGAGGAAAGGCTCCTGCCAGCAGCCCACATGACTCCCAACTTCCTCTTCCTGACCCCCCAGCAGCCCAGAGTACGGGCTGTTTGATGATCCAGGTGGAGCACACACAGAAAAGCAGGAGTCTGGCATGTCATGTGGCATCCCCTTGCTCCATGAAATACAGCAGAAGGCAGCAGCAACAATCTGAGCAGGAAGGTGACTGTAGCAGCTCTGGGAAACACCATAAAAAAGGCAGCATCAAGTCCAGCTGCAGCAGCTGGTACCAGAGCAGCTGTAGCTCCGGCACTCAAGTCTCAGACTCATAGGCTACGTCTACACTGCCGGTTTTGCAGGCAATGAGGCACAAATTAGCATATTGCCATGCCTCATTTGCATAATTATGCACAATGTTTTTGCACAAAGGGTTTTTGCGGAAAAAAAGTAGTGTGGACGGGTAGGCATAAGGATCTTGTGCAAAATGGGGGTTTTGCACATAAAAACCCCATCCACACTTTTTCCCCTGCAAAAACCCTTTGCACAAAAAAGCTTGCATAAATTATTTGCATACTCATGGCCCACAAACAGGCAGTGTAGACAAAGCCATAGATTTTAAGGTCAAAAGGGACAATCATTGATAATCCAGTCTGACCTCCTCTACTTTCAAGGCCACAGAACCCCACCCACTCCTGAATAAAACCCTAACCTCTGGCCGAGTTACTGAAGTTCCCAAATTGTGGTTTAAAGCAGGGGTGGGGAATTTTGGGGCCACTGACCCACAGAAAAATCAATTGAGGGCTGCACACAAGTGAGAAACAAAAAGAAAAACAAAACCCTCACAGATGTAGCCCCCGCTTGAGAAGGAGAAAGTTTCTGAGGGGTAGCCATGTTAGTCTGTAACTGGAAAAATTTAAGAAACAACAAATAGTTTTGCAGCACCTTAGGCTTTGTCTACACTACACACTTTGCCGGAAGAAGCCATACAAATGAAGCGCAGATTAGCATTTTCTCATGCTTCATTTGCATAATCTCTTCCGCTCTGTTTTTGCACAAAGGGTTTTTGCACAAAAAGCAGTGTGGATGTTTCCTTTTTGCACAAAAACCCCTTTTGCCTTAGGCATAAGGATCTTGTGCAAAAAGAAAACATCTACTCTGCTTGTTTTTGTACAAAAACCCTTGCGCAAAAACAGACCAGAAGAGATTATGCAAATGAAGCATGAGAAAATGCTAATTGATGCTTATTCCCATTGCCTTCCAGCAAAGCATGTAGTGTAGACAAAGCCTTAGACACTAACAAAACATGTAGGCTGTGTCTAGACTGGCAAGTTTTTCCGCAAAAGCAACTGCTTTTGAGGAAAAACTTGCCAGCTGTCTACACTGGCCACTTGAATTTCCGCAAGAACACTGATGATCTCATGTAAGAAATCAGTGCTTCTTGCGGAAATACTATGCTGCTCCCGTTCGGACAAAAGTCCTTTTGCACAAAAGCGCCAGTGTAGACAGCTCAGATTTGTTTTGTGCAAAAAAGCCCCGATTGCGAAAATGGCGATCGGGGCTTTTTTACGCAAAAGCACGTCTAGATTGGCACGGACGCTTTTCCGCAAAAAGTGCTTTTGCGGAAAAGCGTTTGTGCCAATCTAGACGCTCTTTTCCGCAAATGCTTATAACGGCAATCTTTTCCGTTAAAAGCATTTTCGGAAAATCATGCCAGTCTAAACATAGCCGTAGATGGTACCAAGAGCTTCTTCAGATGAATGGAGTTTGAGTCAGTCCATCCAGTTTTCAAATAAATAGCACAGAGGGGATGGGGGGGAGGGGGCGGGAGAAGGGAGAAAAGAAAAAAGGGGGAAATTGTCAGACTGTACATGCTAAATGAAGCTGATAATACTTAGTACCCACTTTAACTACCCTGTTTGGTTTTTTACATCATTAAGATATGGAATGTAGTGGGCCACCCAGCCTATGTCTTTGTTTAGACTTCTGTTATAGGAATCCGACTTGTAAATAAAATTAAGTTCTGTAGCTTCCCTGCCCAGATGGCTTTTGAAATTGGCTTGAAATACAGTGACTTTGAGATCCATTAATGAGTGCCCAGGCAAGTTAAAATGTTCCCCAACACAGGTTTGTGTTTGTCTTCTCAGATATCTGATTTGTGTCCATTAATTCTCTCAGACTGTCCAGTTTGGCCAATATACATAGCAGAAGGCTGGCACTTGATGGCATAGATCACATTAATGCACATGCAGTTGTACAAGCCTCTGATGTGGTGGTGTACATGGTTAGGTCCTGTGATATCACTTGTATAACTGTGTGGACAGAGTTGATTGTAGGGGTGGGTTCCTGGGTGAATTTGATGGAGGTGTGTTGCATAGTTGCTAGCAAGACCTGTGAGAGTGATTGTAGATTATTAATGATGTGCTGGAGAGGTTTAAGTTAGGGGTCCTAGGTGATCACTAGTGGTGTTGTTACTATTTGTTGGACTTAATTTACTTAATTTACCAAGGAAGAATCTTTAGAATCAATTGCGTCAGAAGTGCAAGCAGAAAACCCCACAAGGAACATTTTTTGAGGATAGGTGTTCCGGATTTTCAGTCCCAGCAAGTCTGAAGGATATATACATCTTGCAAAAGATGAAATTATTTTAGTCTTTTCAGTGCCCTTTAAAGACATTTTACAGAAGCGCCCATCACCAAAACATAAGTGGCCAGACTTGTGAAGGCTTTAAACAGCCACAAGTTGAGTATGTGACAAACTTTGAATGGCCAAATTAGTCAATTCCAAAAAAATTAGGGAATGTACTAGTCTAGGTATAAATGCCATAATTATGAGGGGAGGAAGGCAGGGGAGGGGGAAAAAAAAAAAAATCAGGAAACCAGGAGAAAAAATTGGAACACCTGAAGTCCCAGATATTTAGTACAGCCATAGTTCAAGCACCTTTTCAATTGTCCATATATCAAACTGAGTGATGGCACTATTAATACCATTTAGCATAACACTTCATCTCATCTCTCCTCCTCTTCCTAGTAGTAAGTCTGCAGGGGTGTCGCCATACAATTTCCTACATAAAAATGATGGGAGGGCATAGGGAGAATAGTCACACAGAACCCTTGGCAGGACAATCAGAGGGTGATGACACACAAGGCCCTGGTGGGGTGAAATTGAGGAACACAAGGGCTATGTCTACACAGCTGGTTTTACCAGCAGTGAGTACGCAAATCACACAGATTAGCATATAACCACACCTCATTTGCATAATTTATGCAATTCATTTTTGTGCAAAGCATTTTTGCAGGAAAAAAAGTAGTGTGGACTTTTCTTTTTGCGCAAAAACCCCTTTCCTGCCAACCCGGTAAACCTCCTTTTTTGGGGCATAAGGATCTGAAAATAGGGAGTAAGTACTTGATATATCTAAAGCTAGCAGTTTGCCATTAGAGTTAGGTATATAGGATTAGAACTATTTATAGTACAATAAGTGACCACAGTGAGAGACACTCAGACACTGCAAGTTTGACTTCTAGCCACTGATAGAAGGAACGGAAGGGGTGGCCCTGTCTTTTATGCCATCAGGAGGGCCCTAACTAATTCAAGGCCATTAAAAAAAATCATGGATCACGAAATCTGGTCTTGTGCTTATACTATACAGATTTCAACAGAGGAGACCAGCATTTTTCAACTTGGGGATCCTGACCCCAAAAAGGAATTGCTGGGGATTGCAAAGTTATTTTACAGAAGGGGTCACAGTATTGCCATCTGTGCTGCTTTCAGAGCTGGATGGCTGGAGAGTAGCAGCTGTTGGTGGCAAAGCATCCAGCTCTGAAAGCAGTTCCGACAGCAGCAGAGCAGAAGAAAACATGGCAATTCCATACCATGGCACCCTTAACCTTCTGAGCTGCTGTAGGAGGCCAGAGAGTGGCAACTGCTGATTAAGGGCCTAGCAATGCAGGCAGCAGCACAGAATTAAGGATGACAATACCAAAACCATAACTCTCCTATAACATTGCAACATCCCTCTACCCCCCCCCAATCCTTTTTGGGGCAGGACTTCTGAAATGTTGTGGTGTTGTAATTGTAGATTTAAATAGCTGAAATAAAATTTACTATTTAAAAAAAATATGACTATGAAATTGGCCTGTGAATTTGGTAGGGCCCTACCCATCGGGTAGGAGGGACAAAGACACTCAAGACCACAGGAATGGCCCAAGGAATTCAGGGTGCATTGTGCCATGCCCACCAACAATGGAACATGAATAGAAAAGCACCTGAAGCGGCACCTAAGATTATCTGACCATCAGACAAGTTCAACTTCAGCAAAGCAACAATGAAGAGGGTAAAAACAATCACTATGGGGCCATAATAGTTGGTGTTATTTATTTGAAGGGGAAACAAAAATGGAAATCAACAGCATGACCTGCTTTCACTGAGGGCTCATCTAGACTACACTAATGTGTCAAAATGGGATATGAAAATTCCTGCAGATCA